AGTATATATTTTGAAAATATTTACATGTATTTACATGTATATATTTATATTAATGTAATTTATATTATATATAAATATATTTAATATATAAACATTGCATATTTTTGTTAAATATGTACATGCATATGTTTGTATTTATATATACATAATAAATATACACAGTACACACATATATTGAGTAAGCAAAAACTTTGATTATGGATGCGATTAATTGTTTGACAGCACTAGTATATATATATTCCTTCAACTCGTCAGTAACATAGGCTTGATCAAATTTGGAACAACTAAACTTACAAATTAGTTTTAAATAAATTGACAATTGTACAATAATGAGAAAAATCAGGTTAATTCTGTCGTAATGCATCTTAATTAGTCCTTAAATCGGCCTCATGATCTGTGTAACATATAATCTGCTGTATTGTTTTTATGTTGATTTGGGATGAGGATGACCGGAGCATGTCTTTGCAGCGGTCTGAAGATCTGTGTGTGTGTGTGTGTGTGTGTGTGTGTGTGTGTGCGCGCGCCTCAGGTCGTGTTTATTACTTCAATCACATCACGAATGCGAGTCAGTGGGAGCGGCCGAGCGGAGCGGGGCCCGACGGCGTCAGCGAGGTGGAGAAAGTGCGCTGCTCTCACCTGCTGGCTCTCTCTGTGTGTGTGTGTGTCTCTCAGGTCGTGTTTATTACTTCAATCACATCACGAATGCGAGTCAGTGGGAGCGGCCGAGCGGAGCGGGGCCCGACGGCGTCAGCGAGGTGGAGAAAGTGCGCTGCTCTCACCTGCTGGTCAAACACAACCAGTCGCGCCGGCCGTCCTCCTGGAGAGAGGAGAACATCATACGCAGCAAAGAGGAGGCGCTGCAGCTCATCCACAGTAAGAGTGTGTCACGTGTGTGTGTGTGTAGACGTGTGGTGTGAAGTACATGTATGGATTCACAAGCGTGTGTGTGTCTGTGTCTGTGTCTGTGTCTGTGTCTGTGTGTGTGTGTGTGTGTGTCTGTGTGTGTGTGTGTAGAGTACATCGAACAGATCAAGTCTGGCCAGGAGGACTTTGAGAGTTTGGCGTCTCAGTTCAGTGACTGCAGCTCAGCGAGGAACGGAGGAGACCTGGGCTTGTTCGGCAGAGGTAAGACTAGAGATACGAGATTATCAGCATCATCCTCCGACCGACTCGCATAGTAAACAACTTACAGAATGCTTTAACATTGAGTAAATGTTGTATAAGCATTCAGTGTTGATGTAGTCACTGCATTAAACTAAACACTAAACTAAAGTGCAGCAGTGACACTTACACAGTACAGTTTCATTTGATTTGAACATTAGTTAACATGGACTAACAATGAAAGCACTTCTACGGCATTTATTAATGTTAATGTCAACATTAATCAATACAATATTAAAACCCAAAGTTATATCTGTTCATATTATTTAATGGACCTAAGCTAATGAACTAACAATGAATGTGTTTATATGAATTAACAGTAACAAAATTAATAAATACTGTAACAAATTGCTCATTGTTAGTTAATAATAGAAAATGCATCAACTAACGTCAACTAATGGGATTTATTGTAAAGTGTTACCGGTACAGCTTTAAGTGTTAATAATCATAATGATGTGGGAAAGTGATATTATGAACCGTGTTATTTTTGTATCACAGATTTTTTATTAATATTTTAGTAATTTTGTTATGCGTTTCGATCATTTTTAGTAGTTTATTTATTGATTTTTACGATTGTTATTTAAGTACTTCACCAAACTAAATTAAAATGAGAAATGTTGCATTGGAAAGTAGATGAAATACAAAGTTTTATACAATTATACAAATTAAATTACCTATTTTAAGATTTTATTTCATTTCTGTTAACATTTGTTCCAAGTAAAAAAAAAAAGTGTTATTTTAATTGACTATAATGTTGGTTGTGTGTTCTGTCTGTATTACTGCGTGTCAGGTCAAATGCAGAAGCCGTTTGAAGACGTCTCGTTCGCGCTGAAGATCGGAGACATGAGCGGCCCCGTGTTCACCGACTCAGGAGTTCACATCATCCTGAGAACCGGATAACCGCATTCCCCCTCCGTCATCCCGCAGATAACACACACATTACACACACTATCCCAGGATTCCTTATCTTAATCTGTTTCCCTGAAAAACCTCACTTGGCTCGTCAAAGCTGCACGTTAAGTCCATCCTGTATTTCAGTCATCGTACATGTTACAGATCCCTTTTGACAGGCCGCGAATCCTGCATCTCTACCCAGCATTCCTTCATCCGGCTCGGCTAAACACTCCTAAAAAACCGTCCTGCGGTGGTGCCTGAACATCACAGGACCAGCTCTGATGATGGACAGTAGACGATCGTATGACACATCTCCAAAAAATGACCAATAAAATATGCCATGTCACTGAATGAAATGCTCCTGTTTTATCTCAAAGCATGAAATTATCTTTAGTGTTAGCTTAGTGAATCACTTTTTCTGCTTGCATGCAAAAACTCGGTTAGACTCTCTTCTGTGCTGTTCCTTTAAGTCCTTATCCAGTAGTGATGTAACGATTCACTCCACTCACGATTCGAGTCACGATTTTTTTTTTACAAAATGAGATTTAAGACAAATTATAAATTAAATGTGTCCTTTTATTATTGCTTGGACAAAATGCTGCACGTTTCTTTGTGATAAACTTTTCTAAAGACAGTAAGTTCCCCTCAGACATACATTCATATAAACTCCTACCCCTAATTGAATCGCGATTTGTTTAGCATCTCAACCGATTTGAATCGTCACATATTTGAATCGATTTTCATCGTTAATCGTTAATCATTACATCCCTATTATCCAGTGCAGTTGGGAAAGTCATAGAAATTCATTGGTCAGAATGTGTCGAAAACTCTGTTATAAAACGGATAGTTCCGGTGCTTGATTCTGATTGGTTGAGCCGCGTTCGAAGCTGTTGTAAATTACTCAACAAACATACACCTTTGTTTACGTTTGTCTGTTGCTCGGCAACCACTTTGTTGCAACCACAACTGTTTCTGAGGAACTACATTGTTTGGTGGAAGAATACTGTTTTTATTAATATCATTACACTTTATTTGCTCTGTTTTATTTTGTGAAACCTTACTAAGTCTATGGAATAACCGTTTTATAAAAGCAATAAGCCCAAAGAAGACGTGGTTTACAGTGAATTTATAACAACTAAGGGGGTTATAACTCCGCTTCGCGTCGCATCTAACAACGCCCCTTAGCTGTTATAAATTCACTGTAAACCACGGCTTCTTTGGGCTTATTGCTTTATTAGACTCTCTTCTTTGCTGATCTTTTAAGTCCTTATCCAGTGCAGCTGGAAAGTCACAGAAATGCATTGGTCAGAATGTGTCTAAATTGTCCAGAAACAAGACCCACGTCTGGGTGCATAATGGAATAAAAAATAACTATTCAGTAGTGCATTGATTATCAAAACCTACATGGATACTTCTGAACAGTGGGAATGCGGTTGACATGAACATTGGTATGATGGGCCTCATCTAGTCTCCCCGTTCCATTTTTAATGGGGATGAATCAATGAAAGCATGTAGTGTGGTGTTGTTGTTTAGGTTTGTTTTTGGGAGATCTTCTTCTGTCCGAGAGTATACAGCAGCTTGTGCAATCGAATGTTTAAAAGTTGTGAAATTTTGCACAATCACTACCAAATATTCCAACATGCTCCTGTAGAAGAACAACCAAGGTGAGTCGCCAAATCAGCGATTTGGAAAATTAGAATGGAGTGTGTGGAAACTAAAGGAAGCATGATGAGTGAACTCTTTGGGTTGAATTCAGTCTGTTAATCTATTATCTATAGTTAGTTTGAGTGTTTATGGAGAGCTGGTAAATGTGTTATTGGAAAACAATTATGTCGTGTTGATGATTTTAAGATTATCTGTGATTACGTGGACGGTATTTAGGAACATTCTGTGTGTACAGATAATTTCCGTTCTTTCCCAATTTGGATGATTCCTAAATGTGCGAAAAGAATGTTTACCCAAATTTCTTAAAACGGACTTTGACACTGAGGAGGAGCCTGACCGTCAGATATTTAAAGGAGCGTTTGTCCCCTCCACAACTGGAGAACTACAACGGTGAGTTGCTGGTTTATTCTCCAGCATTTTCCTTAAAGCCTGTCTGGACATTCAGAAGCGTATATCAGTTAATACATTGAAATGGTACAAGTAAAGAATTCCTTCGTCTCTTTAAGGAAACAGATTTCTGCTGAGAAGAGTTTGAGAAGATGGAGGTAAGCTCATCTGTTTCCTACATTTTGTCACATTCCTACAGATTTTTATCACCTTATCAGTGTGATGTTCATCTTTTTCTCTCTCATGCAGATGATGGTGTTTTTGATAGCTCTTCTGCCTGTTTTATTGGGCTGTGATTGTGGTCTTGATGTAGACAAACCGGTTGACTGCTCTGATGTATATAAGTCAGGACAAACAGTCAGTGGGATTTACTCCATCTATCCAGCAGGAGACATTCCTGTCTGGGTTTACTGTGAGATGATCTCAGATGGGAAAGATGAAGATAAAGGAGCATGGACGGTAGGAATGTGATTCTAGATCATTAAACACACATCAGCACATTCATTATGGAGAAGATGACACCCATCATGCCATTGGAGTTGTTTGGGCAACATGGAAGAATTACGCAGTCAGTATGAAATCCATCAGCATGAAGATCAAACGTGTGTCATAGAAATATTACAGTGCTTCTGAAAGAAAAACATTTTTACCTCATTTTATGACATCTTAAGGTTTTTATTCCTTTTTTTCTGCGTAAAAGAATCATGTTGAAATCTGTCTTTGAAATGTATGGCTGTTTGTATAGTGCATTAAAATATTTTGTGCAGTTATGATTCTTCACTACCTAAATATTCAATAAACTCTTATAGTGAATTCAGACTATTTATCTAAATCTAAAAATGTGAATACTACTAGGTTCCTGACTGTGCACCATGTGTATTGTCGAGTCCCCTCAGAATGCAAACACTTCCAAAAAACAAATAAGTATATTTACCTTTGATCATTAGATTTTTTTGTACGCAAAATAATATCTGTACTGCAAACTTTACTGTTTTAAATCCGAAATGTTATTTTCGTGAGTCGAGCAGAACCGAAGATGATCACATTAAAGCAAACGACAATCACAAGGTTACAACTTGAATCTGTTCTTGCTGTTTGAGTGGATGGAATGCTTAAAAAGGGTTTGGAGATTAATTTGGACTCATCAAAAAAAAAAAAATGTTACCTCCGCATGACCGTACAGAGACATATCCAAAATGTAAAGTAAGCAGTTCCACACCATGTAGAAAAAACAGTCGTCGTTATAAGAGACTCGACAGATGTTGGGCAATTCTTAACATGTAAGAGATGGTTTAAGGGACCTGAGTTTCTCTTCTGAGGTTGAAGAAGAGTGAGATGTTCCTCACTGCAGAACCCAAGATCCAGGGGGCGTGGTTGGAACCAGATCCAATTCCTCCCACCTTACATATACCGGAACCAACCCCCCTGATCCCTAAACCCACCCATCTCCACCCCTAAACCTACCATCTCCACCCCCTGATCCCTAAACCCACCCATATCCACCCCTAAACCTACCATCTCCACCCCCTGATCCCTAAACCCACCCATATCCACCCCTAAACCTACCATCTCCACCCCCTGATCCCTAAACCCACCCATATCCACCCCTAAACCTACCATCTCCACCCCCTGATCCCTAAACCCACCCATATCCACCCCTAAACCTACCATCTCCACCCCCTGATCCCTAAACCCACCCATATCCACCCCTAAACCTACCATCTCCACCCCCTGATCCCTAAACCCACCCATATCCACCCCTAAACCTACCATCTCCACCCCCTGATCCCTAAACCCACCCATATCCACCCCTAAACCTACCATCTCCACCCCCTGATCCCTAAACCCACCCATATCCACCCCTAAACCTACCATCTCCACCCCCTGATCCCTAAACCCACCCATATCCACCCCTAAACCTACCATCTCCACCCCCTGATCCCTAAACCCACCCATATCCACCCCTAAACCTACCATCTCCACCCCCTGATCCCTAAACCCACCCATATCCACCCCTAAACCTACCATCTCCACCCCCTGATCCCTAAACCCACCCATATCCACCCCTAAACCTACCATCTCCACCCCCTGATCCCTAAACCCACCCATATCCACCCCTAAACCTACCATCTCCACCCCCTGATCCCTAAACCCACCCATATCCACCCCTAAACCTACCATCTCCACCCCCTGATCCCTAAACCCACCCATATCCACCCCTAAACCTACCATCTCCACCCCCTGATCCCTAAACCCACCCATATCCACCCCTAAACCTACCATCTCCACCCCCTGATCCCTAAACCCACCCATATCCACCCCTAAACCTACCATCTCCACCCCCTGATCCCTAAACCCACCCATATCCACCCCTAAACCTACCATCTCCACCCCCTGATCCCTAAAGTGGATCCAACCACGCCCCCTGGATCTTGTGTTCTGCAGTGAGGGGCTACTGAGAAGAGTGGCCCAAGTCCAGTATGCAGTTATTAGTACACAGAAAAAAAGGGGTTTAAAATTGTACCTTTTGGGGTACAACAGCTTGTCCCTGGAGCAGTACCCTTAAAAGGACATATTTGTGCCTTTTTTTTGTTTTTACCCCTGATAGGTACATATTAGTACCTTAGAATAGTAAAAAGGTACAAATATGTCCTTTTAAGGGACAAGCTCTTGTCCAGTATGCAGTTATTAGTACACAGAAAAAAAGGGGTTTAAAATTGTACCTTTTGGGGTACAACAGCTTGTCCCTGGAGCAGTACCCTTAAAAGGACAAATTTGTACCTTTTTTACCCCTAATAGGTACATATTAGTACCTTAGAGTAGTAATACGTACCCTTAAGGTACTAATATGTACCTATTAGGGGTAAAAAAAAGGTACAACTATGTTCTTTTAAGGGTACTGCTCCAGGGACAAGCTGTTGTACCCCAAAAGGTACAATTCTGGCCCCTTATTTTTCTGTGTGTACCTCTAGATGACCAAGAGGTCAAAGTGGACTGCACTGCACATACCTTTGCCTGCCAGGTTGCAGAGACGCCTACCAGTCAGTTTGTAAGCTACTTTTCTGATTTTTCATGACTTAAAACTCTGTTTTGATAAGCATCTCCTTGACTTTGAGCATCCATATTACAAAGGCCATCACTGACTGTTGATGATCTCTTGAGAGCAGAAACTGCTATTAGTATTATCAACAAGAGAGATTTTCGGATGAGATTACTGCATTGGAGGCAGGAGCTACTATAAAAGAGTGACATCTTTAGGCTGGATCGAGAACTGGAAAAAGGCTGCCATGCCTGAG